TGTATAACGGTGATTATCACACTCATATCACATGATTATTACACCCATATCACATGATTACACCAAAAATTTAACTTATCAACCAAAACGATAACACAAGTGATGTATAACAGTGATTATCACACCCATATCACATGATTACACCAAAAATTTAACTTATCAACCAAAACGATAACTCAAGTGATGTATAACGGTGATTATCACACCCATATCACATGATTACACTCATATCACATGATTACACCAAAAATTTATCACATGATTATCGTGTAATCGTGTTAAAATATTTGATGATATCATTTCCATTATTACCTTTTTAATTTTAATATTTTTTGAATCTTTTTAAATTTCAATTTTAATTTAAAAAATCTTTTAATTTTATTTTTTATCACAATATGAGGTTATTGGGTTGTTCTTGCGTTCTCGTAAATCACAGAGGTTCTCGTTTGAACCCTTCCCTATATATATAATTGAATCTAAAACCAAACAATTAATGGTTTGAACCAAAATAATTTCGCCTATAGTTTTACACATGTCGATAAAAAGACCTAAACACATGTAAATTTGGACCCCAATAATTTCGGGGGACCTGTTCAAAATCTCAAATTTAACATGCTAAGGGACGGCCCTGACACCTGTGATACTAAATCAGAGACGCAGATGATTTTTGATGTGATCTTGGTTGCGGGCGAAGTCGCTCTTACACTACTAAGCCCCCTCACATGTATTATCACATGTGATAAGGTTGTTGTTGATATGATACTATAATCCATCAAGACCATCACATGTGATGCTAAATCATAGACGTATACAACCTTTGGAGGGGACTAAGTCGTAGAACATGTCGTCCGCACATCACAGGGTCTTCTCATGCATATTGTCACATGTGATAAGGGTGTTATCATGTTCTCGTAAAATGGAGGTGTTTTCGTTTATATATATATATATATAGAGAGAGAGAGAGAGAGAGAGAGAGACTTGGGATCATGTGAGACCAGTCTGTTTTCGTGAGATCCGTGAGACCAACATTTTACACTTGAAACTTCACAGCAAAATGCTRTGAAGGTGACTTTTTAAAACCTTCACAGTGTTTTTGCTGTGAAGTTTACGTGTAAAAATGTGGTCTTACGGGTCTCACGAAAACAGGCTGGTCTCACGTGAACACAACCATAAATATATATATATATATATATATATATATATCTATACTATATTATAAAGCATTTTGGCTAAAACTCTTAAAAACTCTTAAACTCGTTTATCCCTAAACGATTTCATCCCTATCCGATTTCATCC